AGGCCCTGCTGGGAATGAGACAGAGGTGCCAGCTGGGCAACAGTTCACAGCCAATGGATCACGTTGCCGATCCCTGAACATGGCATGAGTGAGAAAGCTGGACAACAGAGGGGAAAAAAGAGCCACTCTGGATTATATGCAGCCTCCCAGAATTTACTATCCTTCCTTACAGCATTGGGAGCAGGGGAAGATCAAGTAGTAGGAAAAAGTGTCAGACAGGACCTTTTGTAGGATCCGCAACAGAACATCTTTTGAGTATCCCCCTCTCGTCTCATCTTCTTTTCTGCATTTCCATTTTAGCTGGGAAATAAACACAGCAAGTTAATTTTGTCCATTTGAACACACGTTGCCGCATTCAGTGCGGCTCCTGCCACCTGCACAATAACCAAGTTTGCTATTTACAGCTACGCTCCCAGAATTGCCAAGACAGTGATTTCAACATCAGAATGTGCAAAGGGAACAAATTATTTGGGGAATGGGGAAAAACACTGCTCACTTTAATAAAAAAACCATAATACTTCAAAGCATACTAATGCCTGTATCAGGGTAATAAGCAGATGTTTCCCCACGCCTAAAGCAAAGAGAACTCAATTTCAGGCTCAAAAATCTAGAGCAGACAGCAGAGAAAAGGGTGAGGGAAGAAGGGTATTTTAAAGGCAGTGGCAGGACCTGTTCGCACGCATGGTACACATTAGACAGCGGAACTTCACCTCCACTGTACAAAGGGACATGCCAGTTCAGCAGAGCTGAAGTGTCCCTTCTGTTTTCCAACGCTGCATAACATCCTATCAGTTTTCACCAAAACCCAGCTTTATAAGGATGTCTTACTTTGAGTTTGGGAGTTATTTTGCCTTCTGCTCCATTTCTTTCTTGCTTGCCTAAAAGAGGGGAAAGGAAAAAAAGATGGAAAGGACATGGGTGAAAACTCCTTGGCTAAAGAGCATTTAACACAAAATTCACCCTGAGAATGTACGAATGGCAACAGCAAACACTTCTGGATTTCCACTAGACCATTTCAGCCCCAAAAATCTTGGGCAACACTATCATCAGGAGCTGTACTACAGACCGAATATTGTATGTCAGCATTTCTCCCTTCTATGATGCCCAGAATTGCCATGATCAAGGACAGAAACAGCTAAGTAAAAACACAAGCAGGAAACCTGTTAGATTCTGCGACATTTTTCCCTGCAAGAGGGTTGTGCTAGTGGGAACAAGTGTGGAAAAATTAAGGGTAGACAAAAAAAAAAAAAAAGGATATCATAGCCTAAGAATTGAATCTGGCCCTGCAACTAAATACTTCACAGTGATGCACTCTCGTTGTAAAACACAGATTCTTGCACTAAGCGAATGCTCAACATCCTCCCCAGTTCCCGATATGTGAAATTAAGGTAAGAAAGGCTAGGGTGGGCTGAATGGCTTACATACAGTCATACAGGAAAATGCTGGTGACCCCCAAAAAAGTTTCTGCATCTGGACCTCTGGTGGTTTTTTTTTTTTAACTCATTAGGTCAATATTTTTTCTGTGAGAAAGCAACAGATATTACACTATAGCCTCTGCCAGAATGAAAGGGGTAGGAAGCAAGAGACAATAAATCTTCCCATTGAACTGAAAACCGGAATGGCACTCTAATTAGTTTTGAAAAGAAGCACAGAACGTTCTGAAACACAAAACTGTATTTTAAGCCCACACAGATACAGAATATTAAAAAAGGCAATTCACTGTAGAAGTGTGTGGATGGCAGTGAGGTTCAGGAATACCAAAGGACGAGGTTCCGGGATTCTGGAAAAATCTCATCCCCTCCTGTACGGGGACTAACTACAACTACTGAAGAGCCCAGGAGAATTAGAGGGAGACAGCTTCAAACACAACAGCTACCTAGTGTTGTATGGCAGCACAGAATGCAGACGTTTTCTAGTTCAGCGTGTTGCTCATTACCTGACAGATTTGTTGCTGGTCTTTGTACAAACCTGGGACGAAGACTGTGTATGCCCAAGGAACACAGGAGAATCAAGTTCCAGAGAGTAAAGCCTCAGCAGCTATAGACTAAACAAAACTTTATTCTCCACACTGAGTCTCTTGTGGGTGATAGGTACTGAACTTTCAAAGGGATACAGAAGTAGTAACCCAGTGACAACTCTTATTTTTTGCAAACTTGAATCATTCCCTATTTTGAGTGTGCAACACTGACCGCCTTAACCGACAGATGAGCAGGACTTTAGGCTCCCTCCAGCATAACTGTGGGGCTCCACATCAGACCACCTAGATTCAACGCTTTGGAATATTTATTGAAAAGGAGCAGCAACAGCACATTAAAGAGCAGCATGCCACATATAAGAAAGCAACCCCACAGAAACACTAGTCTTTTGACTTATCCCTGAAAGAGGTGCTAAGTAGGATCCTATATATGGCAACGTGACCAAGTCAGAAGGCTGCACCTGTATGTGAGCTCTGTCTACAGACGAGCTGGAGTCCCACGTGCATGTAGTGTGGCTAAGGGCTCCAATCTCATCTGTTCTCACCTTGGATGTGCTGCTGTCTTTCAAGCTGGATCTGTTCTCGAATGAGTCTCTGCTGCTCCTCAAGCTGACGGGAGCCTTCTTCTCGCAGGCGTATTATCTACAGCAGAGGTAAGACAGCATGGATATCTGAGGGCACAGTTCCACAGTTGGTTCATGCCAGCTAAAGACTGCCAAGGAGAGCTTTTGTCTTATACCCCTCTCCTGGGGCAACCCTCCTGCTAGCTCCCCTGTGACAACTCCAGCACTCATAAAATTGGACCCCGCACGTTCCCAGTGACACAGCCCCTATCAGCCAGCATATAACCAACTAGCTGCTGTTATAGTCTGCCACACAAAAGGAAAAGGGCAGACAAAAAATAAAATCCCGAGATCGACACATTTGCCAGACTGCTACAAGATCCCTTCTTTCATAGGGCCCATTAATCCAAAAGGCTGAAGGACTGCTGCATCTCATCACATGGTTTTCACTATGATTGTAAAGACTTTCAGCAATTCTTCTCAAAAGTACAGAGAAATCTAAGAATTTATCATTACTTCTTGTTCTAATGATCTTGTTATCCTGATCTCCTCCTCTTCGCTCTCATGGGTCTGGGCTTCTCGTTCTCTGGCTTCAAGATCTGCAGAGAAAGAAATAAAATTGAAACAATCCAAACAGAATTTTCACTGCGGACCAGAGGTGAATGGAAAGATCACAAACTTGGCTACACTGACACCAATTTCAAAGTAGAGCCCTGACAGCTCTGCTACCTCTCCTCTGCCCAGGCACATCAACGTATCGGCAGTCTTAACAGTCATCAACCCCCCTAATTCCTTCCCAGAGCAGGACCATCCCCAGCTATGACTGTGGGAGGAGATTTCAGATGGCTACCGTATTGTTCTGGGCATAAAGAAACCACAGCCATCACAAATGGACAGCAGATTAATCAATGGTGAATTCCAGAGGTAGAAGAAATCCAAACACCCAGCTAATGAAGACTTCAAGCGAGGAGAAAATGAAGTTTTGATTGCATTACCAAGCTTTACTTTCTTTCGCTTCTCATCAAGTTTTTGTGTCCTTTCAGCAGCTTGCTTCTTAGCCTTTCTCACTTTGTCATACGCCGCCTGTCAAAGAACCAACACAATAGTGTGAAACTATATAAAGCAGAAGAGATAAAATGGAAAGCAGTGAATGAAGGCGAGAACAGATACTGAAACGCTGTAAGCAGAGGTGAAGCATCTTTGCTTCTTGCCAGCATTCCTCCTAAAAGCGTTGGAAGTTAACACAAATACCCTGAAAACATGAGAAGAGGCCCAAGGATCTCAGGATGGAGCCTGAAAGGGTGAGGAAGTCCAGGAATAACTACAAAATGTACTGGGAAAAAGTCTGCCCCATCTTCAGAGGTGGGAAGAACATTTTGGTTTCCTGAACATGCCAGAAGTAGCTTTAGGGGCACTTTTAACAGATCACGTTTGGATTAGAGCAAGGTTTCACAATTAAAAAGGTCTATTTTAGATGAAGGATTTATTCACAAGACAGATGTTTGACTCACATGAACATACTGGATCAAAGAGCATCAGAACTCTTCAGCAGCAATAACACATCAACATTCATTTAGCACTACAGAGACTTAAGAACTGGGCTAAGCTGGCAATTTCACCGGCACCTGTTTAAACTAGTTGACAATCTGTTCATCAACCTACGCAGAACCTTTCTGTAGTAGGTGAAGCACAGACCAGCACAAATGTTCAAATATTACTCGTAGAATAATCTTACAGGAAAGCACTGCTCTTGTTTAATAAACTAGAAAAGCTGGTATTTTTCCTTCCTGCATGGGAAGGGTTTGCTAAACACTTTTTCCTTTTTAAAATGTAGAAGCCAAAGAGCTCTTGGATGCCAAAAGCTTAATTGCCCCGTGGAGGGGAGATTACAAGCTTTGCCAGTGTTTGAAAAGAGGAGAGTTATTTCGTGTTTTTAAATCTTATAATCTGAAATTTTAATATGCCTTCCCTCCTGAGTTTTTCTGGATAGAGTTACTTGCTCATTTTTCTTTTGGTTTTATTCTTTCCCTTCACACGTCCAGATCACTTTCAGGCCTCGAGCAGCAGGCACTCAGCCAGTTCCTCACAGCAAGAAAAGAGTCCAAGCTACATCTGGCAGCCTGCAAAGCTCCCGCGGCAAAAGGACAGAGATCATGACTATGATTCAGCTTTTCAGCTTACAAGTCTCCTGTGCCCCACAGAAAGGCAGGCTCTGAGCCTCAGCAATCGCATCGAGGTATTACTGATGTGTTACACCTTGACTTCAAGGGAACTGCAAACGCGCAGTTGTCGCAGGAATTTAACGCGCCCCTGTCAGCGGTGGTTCTCATTTATTTTTTTAAATGGGATATGCCCCAGTCTAACACATCATTAAAGACAGTATCTCACCCTTGCAGCACGTGGACAGAGCTACTCCCAGCACATCAAACCAGAAAAAGAACATTGGTCCAAGTTCTTATCTCACACCTACTATTTGATCTCCCAGAGAACTCCAGGGAATAACAGATGAAACTTGCATTTACAAAGTCACAGTCGGAGAAGAGAGCAGGACAGACAGGAAGAGAGTTTCCAATACTTCTCCGGCACGCTCCCAGAGAGTAACACCACACAATCCCACCATCACCAAGGGACGGGCATCCTTACCCTCGCTGCTGCATCTGTTAGCACGGCTAAGGCCTGAGACAGTTGGTGGAAGACTTCCGCTGGGAATTAGAAGAAAAAACGGTAAGATGCAGAAAACCATGCTAGCGGCCTGGAGATGAACCAGAAAAGACAGTCCCTTATGGAAGAGACCTGCAGAACATCAGAAAGAAGAATAATCTTTCCAAAGCATTTGTAAGCCAACCTATAGCCAGGATCAACTCAAAGGACAACATTTGTTGCATAAACTTCAGTGTAAATTGAAAAACAAAAACCAGGACCATTTCATTTTAACAGAAATCTTCAAAACATGAATTCAGCAGAACCCATCTACAGAAATGCATTACTCAACCTGCAGTCAGCCCGAAATACACTGTTACAAACAAACTCTCCCTTTCACATCTGTAGCTTTTCAGACCAAGATTCAAACTTTGCATTTTACATCAATATTGCTGACCCTCTTCCTGGAGGGTTACCCATATAAGCCAGAGGCCACCCGCACACCTCAAATCACTTCTCAACCTTCTGTAGGTATCAAAGCCCCCAGCTTTCCTCTCATTGCTGCTATTTTTTTTTTCCTGGAGGAAAAAATTCTCTCTGTACTACAGTTATAAGTTTTCAATCTCCAAGACTGTAGCCCATCAAATTGGAAAACATAAGATACAGAACAATGTTTATTTTGAGGTGTCCTGATGAAGAGCACCCTTCTAGTTACCGCTGCTGTTCACCGCTGCCTGTAGCTACAACACTTAACGACAGAGTAGCTGCAGAAGCCAGACCTTCCTAACAGTTTAGGTATCCTCAGCTCCACAGAGTCAGGGCCTCGTCTCTGACAGACAAAAGTGGGCATTGCCCATAGATAATACGATTTATAAGCTCGCTATTGAAGTTTCAACTGTGAGAGGCAGGAATTAAAATAGCGACCAGCCAGTAAGCACAGGGGACAGCGCGGCCAAAGGCCCAGATCCCAGTACCATGTGGGAAGATTTTGAGAGGTGCAAATATAATTCTGGCACTGACTTAACGCTGACATTTCCAAACCCAACACGTATGCATTCAACCTTAAAAAACAGAGCTCTCGAATAGGGATGAAAATAACTCCTGGCCCTGCATATGCGTACTTCACATAACACATGCCCAGGCATTCCCTTAATTACATGCAAAGACAGACCTGAAGTTAAGCAGAGCCCCTTCCAGGAGTCTGCACACGCGAAAACAAACACGAAGAGTTCTTCGTGTCTGCACAACCCCATCTCACCTGCTCTGGGGTTGTCCGGGTTCTTATCTGGGTGACAGGTCAGGGCCTTCTGCCGGTACGCTTTCTTAACCTGCAAGAGCCAGAATTGAGATTTACTGGTTGGTGCCCTTTAGTCTGTGTTGAGAAAAGCAACTTGGAAAAAAACAACAACAACAACAACAACAAACCAACAAAAAACCCAACAAAAAATACCCAAAACCACTGCAGAAAAAAAATTACTATTCAGAGGGTTTCTTTTGTTGGTGGTTTTGCTTAACTTAAAACACACCTCCCTATCATAAGTAGAAGGCTGTGGTTGAACCAACGTTCATGTGCATGACGAGATGGCCCCCAGGCCTGACAGAAAACAAAGACCATTTTCAGAGTGCCGACAGCTCCATCACCCCTCACGCTGAAAGGTAAAGCAGCCTACTGTCACAGCAAGAGACCTCCGGAAAGCTGTCTGCAACCCCAACGCAGCGGCCTGTCCTTGTTACTCGGAGCGTACTGCAAGGATAAGCATTGGAGCCCAGGACACCGAGTGGCAGGCAGCCATACTCTGAATGAGTCTAAGCTTTTCAAAGCCAGACGTTTTCCTTCTGGGTGCGGTGTATTACGGCAGTCAAAGCTCACGATCGTCAGGGCCAGGTCTGGTTCACCGAGGCAGCTTTCTGGCCGGAGGGATACAGTGTTCTTTGCAGCTCTAACTTTGGGACAGAGAAAGCACCGTTTACCCTGCAACAGTTGAGTCTGGCAAGGTGAAGATTTTTTGACCAAGGACTGTTTAATCTCTTCTACACTTCAGAGAAAGACTGACGACTTTCTGAGCTAAGTCACTTTTAACATCCCGTTGTCGGGACACATCTGCATGCAAGAAAGGAAAGGAAGAAGAGCTGCTCTGTTCCACTGCCAAGCAGTCCGCTGCTAAAACGAGTGGAATAAGTGGCGGCCCGGCACCACCTCGTGGACAAAGCGCTTGGAAGGGAGCCGTGCAGCTAAAGCCTTACAGGCCTAATCCTGTCTCCTGCCTAAGCAAGGCTCCAGGTGAGAGAGAGAGAGGGAGAGAGAGAGAGAGAGAGAGAGAGTCTCCTCCCCACGCATCAGTCACAACTACTACAATAACAGTTCTACGTGGCAAGTTCAGGCAAGGCTTCTCTAAACAGTGAGGTTAAATTACTTGCCTGGTCGAGCAAGACTAAACACTCCTGCTCCCCTTTGTTCCCCTCTTCCGGCCACGCTGCTCCGCACGCAATCGGTCTTTGGGTTATTTCAAGTATTTCACATCAAGGGTTAGCACTCTAAATTACACTTGTCACTTGAACTTGCACCATAACATCCAATTTGTAGTTTTCTCCTCCTTTTGCCCCAGCGACTAGCTCGGCAGCGAAGCTGAGACCACCTGAAGCCCTTCACCTCATCCGACCCCGTGCGTTACGCTTGGCTTCTTCCCGTTTTGTGCTTCGCACGCGCGGGATCTCCAGGCGGCCTCAGACACAGCTGCTGTCTATGCCCAGGCTGTAGCGGCCAAGTTTTACCCTACTGTACTGCTACTGCCCTTTACTGCTACGGGACAAAAAGGAAAGAGAAAGCCTAAGGAGGAAAATCAAACTTGGAAGCGTAACCTCGTTCCGTTGCTAACAGCTTTCCTCAGAGCCTTACTTCCCTTGAGAAGGTCGCTCTCCCAGCTCAGCTGCTCAAGTCTCCCGTTAGCACTGACTTGCCAGCTGAAGGGGAAATGGCAGCCCCTCGCTGCCACGCCACGAAAGGAACAAGGGGACCCAGGGGAACCCACAGCCCCCAGCCCAGCCTCGAGCGGCCGCGTTTCGGCAAACAGGAGGCCAAACAAAGCGAGGGAAACGTCGCCCGAGGCCGATTCTGCAGTTCCCTCCAGCCGGTTCCATCCTCCTCCACAGCCAGGCCTCGCCCCACAGGCCTCCCGGGGAAACCGGCGGGTAACCCGCGGGCAGCAGCAGAGCCAGCGTTAAAAAGGGGCTCCGGCGCCCCCCGCCGGCAGCGCGGCAGGGCCCAGGGCCGCGGCACCGCGTTAACGAGCGCTGGGAGCAACCGGGAGCGCAGCCCCGGGCCCCAGCCGCCTCCTGCCCTCGGCCCCGAGGGAAAGGCGGGGGGCGGCCGGGCCGGGCCGGGCCGGGGGAGGG